CGTGTTGGTCCCGACTCATAGCAATCCCTCCTTGAGTTTCCAAGGTAGTAGAAGCTCTGGTAGCTTAGTGCCTAAGGCACTTGACTGTTAACCAGAAGGCTGGCGGTTCAAACCCACCAGCCACTCCTCGGAAGGAAGATGGGGCAATCTACTTCCTTAGAGATACTGCCTCAGAAACCCAAGCAGGGGTCGCTATGAGTGGGTCCGACTTGACGGCACATAACAACAACAACAACAACATAGAGTGTTTTGTAGTAGTGCAAAGCATTGAGGTAGGTCTATCTGTATTGACGTGAAAATACCTCTAGGACACGTTGTAAAGTGGGGAAAAGTTGTTTATGTACTGTTTGATTACATTTATGTATTTCTCTGTGTATGTATATATGTAGCAAAAGGTTTGGAAGGATACACATAATGTTGACAACTATGGTTATCTCTTGTTGTTGTTATGTGCCGTGGAGTAGGACCCGACTCATAGCTACCCCTCCTTGGGTTTCCCAGGCAGTATCACTATGAAAGTAGATTGCCCCAACCTTTCTTCTGAGGAGTGGCTGGTGGGTTTGAACCGCCAGCCTTCTGGTTATCAGTCAAATGCCTTTGACACTATGCTACCAGATGGTTGTCTCTTAGGAGGGATCAAAAATAGGGATGAGGAGAACCTTAGACTCATTATCTGTGTTTTTTTACTGATTAAATTAGGTCATATTTATGTATTTGTTCTCTAAGAATAAATAATGGAATGAAAAACGAATTGTTGACAAGAAACAAAAGTGTACTTAGTGTAGTTGTGTGCTGAATGTGATGTCTGTTCCTGTCTGTGGTTCTTGTAGTACTTTATAAATGAGATACTCAGTCCTCGTTGAGTCTTGTGCTATGAATGGACAATTGTTGCTGCCAAATACAGGCACAGAAAGGGATTGCTCTTTCTTGGTGGCAGTAGAGTGAGATAAGATGATGGGGTGGTGCAGCTCCGTGAAGGTCCATTCATCCACTCAGCAGATGGTCAGCAGAGATTTGCAGAGCGGCTGTGTACTGTACTTTTTCAGTTCATTCAGTCCTCATCACAGCCCCTGTGCAGGAGGCATTAGGGGTACCAGGGTGGTGGAGAGGCTAAGAGCATGGGTTTGAAAGCGGGCCAACTTGGTTTTTTATAAATCACGAAGTTTACGGAGCCTCCCGTTTCCTCATTTTAAAAAATGGCAGTGTTTTACAATGCCATCTCCTTGAGAAGGGCTGGGGCCTATGCAGCCTGAGTTCTCTGTACGGGGCAGGTGTGGGATTGTGCTTTAATTTGCATGTGAGGAAACCCACTCTGCTATGTGCCATATTCATTTAAGAGCTTTGAGTGGCCCAGACACAGGGTCAAGGAATGGAAAGGCCCCTGAGAGACCTGGATTTTTCTCTTAGCCTTGTGTTTCCTTCCTCTCTCTGGGCCTCGGTCGTCTCATCTGTACAATGTTATCTAAATCATAAATCCTAAATATCTAATAATAAATCATATCTAACCCTTTCTTTGCTTATATTGTTTGGAATTCTAGTGGAGCGCCATGAGGCCCTAAGGCTAAGAGAGAATAGTCGGAGCTGGAGAAGGTAGCTTCTTGGGGCCATAAGGTATAGTTAGAACTGCCTCAAGGATGCAGATGACAGAGATTGATGGCATTTTTAAAGTGGCAGTAAAGCCCGAATGGAAATTTGGCAGGAACTGTGCAAGAACTTCTACATTAAATGGTGGTTTCTTTTAAGAATTGAGATGTCAAATGCCATTTTTCAGACTTCAATATTTGCCTGTTGGAAGTTTGTCTAAGACCAGATTCTTTGGATTTGCCTGCCAGGTAGTCAGCTGTGATTGATCCGGGCTTGAGTTGTTGACGGGCCGTTTCAGCCAGGGGAGTAATTGAGTGGTTGCGATGGAGAGAATTCTAGACTGGGAATGTAGGGACCAGATTCAGGCTAAACTTTGCCCATAACCTAGTGTGTGCCTTTGGGCCTCTAGGTCAGCATCTGCAAAAGGTGGTGGTTGAACTCGAACTTAATTTTAAAATTCAATTTAGAAAATGAACTTTGTCAAATTTTTGTCAAAAAGTTAACGGTTATATAAAATGAAAACATCTCTCATTTCCCCACTGATGACACTTTTTGGCATTTCAATATTCTTTGCCTTGTTACATTTTTATGGCTCACATGGTTCCAAGAAAGATTTGGGGTGACTTTGGTGTATATGTCCTTCCTCTCCTCCCGTAGTTTTGGGAATATTCTATTTAAGTTTTGCAGTTATCCTTATCCTCATAGCAGGCACATTTTATGTAATTACCTCCTAATGTTGGAATTTTATGATATTTCCAGGTTTTAGCTTAGTCCTGATCTTAAAGGTCCATTCCAATCCCAGAGTTCAATGATCAGGCACAGTTATCCCAGGAACAGAATGATTTCATATTTAGAAGCGTGGAAAGAGCAGGTTGTCAAGCTGTGGATTTTAACTCCTGGTTTATAGCTTGGGGCAGTGGAAGAATTGTTAGGGGTTAGACGTAAAAAGCTTGGATTCTGGCTTTGTTTCTGCACCTAACTGCCATGTGATCTGGGGTAAGCCACCAAAGTTGTGTGGGCCTTTGCTCCTTTCTTTGAAAATTGCATGGGTCTTTAGGAAATTAATTGTTTAATGACATTAAATCTTTTATGAATTATAAAATCAGTATTTGTTTCAAGGTGATGGTGATAATTTATTCCCATTAAAGGGGTTCACACAATATGCTAGGTACCTTGTTGGGCACTTTGTATTGTGTTTAATTCCTAGTTATCCTATGAAATAGCTATTGTTCTCCTGCTATTGATGAAGGCACGGAGGGTTGGAGGATTGGGGAGGGTCAATAACTTGTCTACTGGTGCAGTACATGGCAGAGCTTAGATTAGACTCCAAGGTAGTATCTTTTTGTGTCAAACTCTATCTTCAGTTATGGTTTAGTTTTCTGTCAATGTCTCCAGATCCTCACTGAAGCTCGTTATAGAATCCAACCAGTACAGCTTCTTAGATGGGTGAATCCTTTGCTTTTCTTTGTCCTTTTTCTTTTTTGTGATTTGGGTGACAGTTTACAGAGCAAATTCATTTTCCATACAGCGGTTCACATACACTTTGTCTCATGACATTGACTGCCATTACCCACAGTGCAACAGTTCTCTTTCCACTTCCTCCACATAGTTACCTCTTCCCTGTGTCCTTCCCTCCCATGTACTCCTGCTCCCCGAGCTGTCTCCCTGTACATACACAGCCCTTCTGTTCTCCCATAATTGATCTCTCCAAGGAGTGTATCTACCTAATGTAAGTGTTCAGCTCATATGCCTGTCTTTTGTTTGGCTGGAAGCCACAGGAGTGGGTTCAATTCCAGACCTGAAGGGCAGCTAGGGTCCACAGTCTCAAGGGTTCGCTCTAGCAGACCAGAAAACCTGGTTTCTTTTTAAGTGATTTTGAGTTTTGCTCCACATTGTTCTCCCACTCTATCCAGGATCTCCTACATACATCCCCCTCCTTGTCGTTGACAGTGGTAGCTGGGCACCATCTACTTCTTCTGGTCTCATGGTTGTATAGGCTGAGGATTGCATGGTGCACCAGTTGCTTGGACTAATTGTTTCCATGTGTCTTTGGTTTTCTTCATTCTTCTTTGCTCTGGATGAGGAGAGACGCTTCGTTGCATCTGGATGGCCGCTTGTAAGCTTTTAAGACCCCAGTCGCTACTCACCAAAGTAGGATGTGGAACAATATTTTTGTGTAGTATGTTATACCAGTTGAGCTTGATGTCCCCTGCGACCATGTCCCGAGCCCACAGATCCAACTACTCACTGCCTCCAGCAACCTTGTCCCTTGTCAGTTCTACTATACACCTGAAAATTCTTACAGAACATACAAATACAATTGTAGAAACATTGTCTGCCAACCCTATATATGGTCATGGACACACTCCCTCCTGCATAGACATACCTAATAGTTCAGCCTGTCCACCCATCTATCCACCTGTGTACCCATGTTTGCCTTCACTGACAACGCAGTACTGTACATGCAAAAGGGTTTATCTTTATTGTCTGTGGCTCCCATGTACCCCTCTATGTCTTCCTCTTCCTCAGTGCCACCATGTTGATCACTCACATTTGGTACATTGCCCTTCCCTTCACCCAAATCAATACTAGTCTCTACCTATCTAGCAGTGTTCTCTCCCCTCCCCTTCCACCCCTGGTAACCAACAAAGAAGATTTGCTTCCATATGTAAACCTTTCCTTGTTCTTTGTGATTCTTAAAGCATCTGCACTGGTACCTGATTACCAGAAGGTTAGCAGATGATAATAATGACCAAACCACACTAGATACCATTTATCAAGTGCTTACTATGTGTGAAATGTTGATATGCATTAACTCATTTAATCTTTACAAGTTGTTGTTGTTCGCTGTGTTGAGTAGATTTGGACTCGTGGCAACCCAGTGTGTGAGATTAGAACCCTGCTCCACGGGGTTTTCAAGGCCGTGACCTTTCAGAAGCAGAGCACTAGGCCTGTCTTCCAAGACATCTTTGGGTGAGTTCAAACCACTAACCTTTCAGGTCGTATTTGAGCACTTAACAGTTGTGCCACCCAAGGACTCCAGTGTTTACAGCTAGAGGTTAGTACCCCATGTAACATATTAAGAAAGTGAGACTCAGAAACATAATTGACATGTACCTGGCACAGTGCCTCCACACCTAGCTCATATTTGGTACATAGACCACGTAGTGTAGGAATGAATTAATAAGGGATCCTGCTGAAGGTCACTGAGCTACTGAGTGTTAGAGTTGGAACTGAGCTCCATAGTCAAAACTGAACCCAACACCTGAGTTCTTAACTTCTGCGCTGCGTTCCTCCCAGTTCAGGTGTGTGTCCCTCCTTGGCCGTGGTGTGATGGTTGTCATGTGTGGTTCAGGTAGTTTTAACAATATCTGTTAAACACTGGCTTATCTCTTACCGTACATGTTCTCTCCTAGTGGCCTTGTTCCTAGTTTACCAGATGATCTGGATGGCATCACCCCCAGTGCTGGTTTGGGAAATGGTGGTAAGTACACAAAGCCGGACATTGTCTTGAATAGGAACGAGGGGAGTAGACGCTAGACCATGAGCGCCTTGAAGCCTGGGACTGGGCTTTCATACCTGGGGCCAGAGCTTAGCCTAGAGCATAGTAGGTGCTCAGTATATTATGTATGTACTGGTTTGCTCTCTACTGCCTTTCATAAAAACTGGCCTAGAGGAATTAATGTCCTTTAGATAATACTTCATGAGGCTAATTTCTTCTTACCAAGCTATTAGGGCTCAGAAGGAAGTTTTGGCAATCTACTTCCATAGACATACCGCCTTGGAAACCCAAGGAGGGGTCGCTATGAGTCGTGTGGACTTGACGGCAGTGAGTTTGTTTTTGAGTTTGAAGCTTATAGGGATTCAGCCAGTGTTCGCTGAATTGAAGAATTGAAGGAGGCTACACACTGAATTTGTGACGAGGTCAAGCACGGAAGTTCTGTTGGTCTCCACTGCCGAGTGGCTGGAGGTCAAGAGGATCTGTCCAGACTGACCTGGAAGGGTTGCTGCATTCTAATATGGGCCTACCCTTTGAAGACAAATAGCTTGTTAGACCATAGGAGACAGCGCTCAGTAAATAAGTAGTGTATTGTATTTAGGCTGGATTATGAGAAGACTTTCTGCTTTGGCAGTTTGGGTTTCGCTGAGCATTTGTCGTAGTTTTTGTTTTTGAAAAAAGTAAATGCTATCCTAAATATCTCTGTGAGAAGTGGTAATAATTTGCCTTCTTGAATTATCTTAAAGGTATTTTTACTTGTGTTTTTTTCTCTACTCCAAAGTGATAACATAGGTACAAAAGGAAGCTATTTTTAGAGCAGGCTAAGTGTCACAAGGTTTATTTCTTGAGAATACCTTAACTTACTGGCCACCTTCAGGTTTTCATTCAGAATCTGTTAGCTTTTACTTTAAACGCAAATCCAACAAGGCTGATTTCTATTTTTACTGCCCATAGACAGTTAACAAACAAGCCTGCTGCTTAATTGGAACACTAGTGAACAGCTCTTCATGCCGGACTCTGGACTAAGCACTTGGAGATTCAGCCTTGAGCATGACATATGTGGCTCCTGCCCTACAAGGCTTGTCTAGCAGAGAAGACAGACAGTTAAGCAAAAATTGTTGGGATGTGTGAAATAATCAATGTAATGAGCAAAAAAGTGTGAAGTGTTACGAGGAAGTAAGAGAGACATTTACTCTATGCATATTTGTTGAAGAATGATAGGAAGGAGGGGTGGGCCAGGTAAGAGTTCCCTGAAAAATTGATACTGAGCTGAGACGTGAATGAATAGGATGTAGCTAAGGAGAGAGGAGGGCATGAGCATCCCAGACAGAAGTGGCAGAGCATGGCTTGTTTGAGGAACAGGAAAACAAAGCTGATGCACAGGGATCTTCCCAGAATGCCCCGTCCAACTCCCACAATGCCCCTGTCCAACTCTGAGTCTTTTCCGTATGCACTGCTCACGTGGGTTCAGATGAGTAGTTTTTGAGCACCCTGCCCTCTCACCCTCTGTGCCTTTGCATGGGTTGTTACCTCTTCCTTTTGCCCTTCTCATCTGCCTGATGCTTGCTTCCTGTTTCTTTTCTTAAAATTTTATTTTTTGTTGAAAATACACACAGCAAACCAGACACCAGTTCAGCAATTTCTCCATGTCCAATTCAGTGACATTGATTCCATTCTTCAAGTTGTGCAACCATTCTCACCCTGCTTTCCTGAGTCGTTCTTCCCCCATTAATTTAAACTCACTGCCCCCTAGGTTTCATGGAGCTGCTGTTGTCAGTTTGGTTCCATGTAGATGAAAGAGCACAGTGCTCACGGCAGACATTCTTTACTAGTGAAGCTGAGCTATTGTTTGCTTTAAGAAGATTTCAGGAGATATTCTTGGTTTAAAGTTTAAAGACTGCCTCAGGGCAGTCATTTCAGGGCTTCTTCTAGCCCCCACGGCTTGGGAAACGGGGGTCCATGAGAATTTGAAATTCTGTTCTGCATCGCCCCCCTTTTCTTTTGCTCCAGGGAGGGTCCTTATTTCTTTCAAGCTTTTGTCCCTAGGTTCCTTGGGAATCCTGTGGCCTGTATCTTCCCTTCTTCTTTTTTTTTAAGTGCATTTTATTGAAATATAATTTATGTACAGTGAAATACGCAAAACTAAAGTGACATGGGTCAATGCATGTTTTTTTTTTTTTTTTTTTTTGGCAGTGTTCCCTCTCCTCCCCTCCCACCCCTGGCAACCACAAAGAAAGTTTCCTTCCATATACAAACCTTTCCTTGACCCTCCACAGCAATAAACTAATACTATATTTGTCCTTCTATGATTGGCTTATTTCACTCAGCATAATGTCCTCCAAGTCATCCATATTATGCAGTGTTTTGCAGACTCTCCATTTTCTTTAGTGCTGCCTAGCATTCCATTGTGTTTGTACCATAGTTTGGTCATCTACTCTTCCACTGATGGGCATGTAGGTTGTTTCTATCTTTTTGCTATTGTAAATAGTGCTGTCATGAACATGAGTGTGTATATATCTGTTCCTGTCCTGGCTCCCACCTCTGGGATATATACCTAGTAAGGAGATTGCTGGGTCAAATGGTATGTCCAATTCCAGCTTTCTAAGGTATCGCCATATTACTTTCCACAGTGGTTGTATCAGTTCATAGTCCCACCAGCAGTGTATGAGAGTCCCAATCTCTCTGCATGCCTGCCAGCATTTGTTATGTCTGTCTTGTTGAACCTTGCCATCAGTGCTGGGGT